TAGTATATTCTGTTCAGTACAGGGAATAGGACATTGTGACTCAGGGAGAGGGTTGCCCAGTAATAATGAACTTTTCCCACTATTTGGGAGGCCACATCGTGAACATTTGTCTCTTTTGACTGCCCAACATTTGAACCCATTCCCTATCCTTGGGATATCTGCCCTTTGTGAGTCTGGAGGTAGCTTGGCTGCTAAGATATTCCTTCTTCCTGCATATACAGGAGGAGATTCTACAATCTAGCAGGGTCAGCTGGATCTTGTCACACAGGGTTTTAAATCTGGAGCCAAGGACCCAAAGAAACAGGTCATTTTAGGACTCTCTCCTCTGGAGGTGACATCAGTGTTCAGTGTCTAGAGGTGACAGAGGGCCAAGCTAAGTGCTAGACCACAGAGGTGGTGAGTGTTCCGTGCAAATGGTGCCTGTAGTGTGACTGGTTTTAGGTCACTGTAGATTGTGCCCTACTCTGTGGCAGATGCTGGACATGGTGCCTGCCCTCCAGGAGGTGCATTGGAATGAGCAGAACAGGTAGTTCCAGGAGTTGAATTGCTGCAGGAATCAGTGTAAACCTAAGAGCAGTGAGAACACAGGCAAGGAGACCTCTAGCCCTGCCTGGAAGAGACAGTGAAGGTTTAAGGCATTTGAACTAAGCCTGGAAATAGTTCGGTAGACATCTGCCTTTGGCAGCTCCTCGCTGGAATGGAGGCAGCAAACCATGGGCCTCACCAAGTAATAGTGAGTAGATGAAGGGAAGGAAGGTGAGCTAAAATGCTGAGCTCATGTTTGGAAAGGTGGAGTTTGAGGGACAACTGAGGTATTTAGTTTATGGGGCCAGAGTTTAGAGTGCAGACTGAGTTGGAAACTGCAGTTGTCATCAGAGTTGACTTTTACTGAATGTTCCTCCTCCTTGTCATTATTTTATTTCCTGTCATGTTTCACTGTGTTGTGCTGTATCCAAGCATGAGCTCACTCAACTCTGAGTTAGCTCCTATTAATCTTCCAATTTTGCAGAGAGGAAACTATATAGAGAGATTAAGTGACTCCAAAGTAGTGGAGCCAGGACTGTATCTCAGTTCTGATGGGCTCCAAAGCCTACTCTCTGCATTGCTGCTGGGGCTAGAATCACCTATGCAGGATCAGTGCAGAGATGGGTAAAAGTAAGTTCATGTGATTAATAAACAGTAGCCTGTACATGCTATCCATTTACCTGGCTTTATGGTTGACTTTCTTTTGTAGATTTATTTATTTATTGCCATTGTCTTTCATTAGAATGAGAGATCCAAGAGGCCAACAACTCTGCCAGTCTTTTCACAGTTATTTACTGTGTTCCTAGAACATTGTAGGTGTTTGACAAATACTGTAAAAACAGTAAAAATGTTAGCTCTCATCATGAGTTTACCATGTGCCATGTGTTTGGTATATATTAACTCACTTGACCCCCAAGACTGTCCTTAACTTTTTAGAGAATGAGGTAATAGCCATAACAAAATTTAAAAACTTGTTCATGATCACTTGGGTTGGAAGGAAATAGAGCTTGAATTCAGATGCAAATGTTGTGTCTCCAGAAATCAGGTGCTTTAATACTGTGCTTTCCTGGCTTCGTGAGTAAATGAATGATTAATTAAAAGGTTTATATGAACTATAAAAATCTATTTAATAATACATTTCAGAGTAAATCATTTGTGAAATAAAATTTATAAATAATGATGTAATATTTTTTCTTTTTAGGAAAGTACAGTTGTTAAAGATTAAGACAGGTATCTGGAGTTAGGATAATTATATTTTTAAATATAGACTCGGGGTTCTGGAAAGTATATTATTATGACATCACTTATAATCTACTAGTCTTTAAATAAATACTTTAAATAAATAAATTTTAAAGGTTAGTAAATCTGTCTCATGTGTGTTCCAAAAAGCTTATCATACATCTTTATTATCTTCATAAGATGTACCTACCTCTTATGAAATGAATTATAGCAGTAAACAGTGTTAACTTTCATCATAATTTATTTGTAACTCTGAAAGCTCAGTTCAATGTCTAACAGCTATATAATAGTTGAATTTTGGAATTATTATTGAATTGTAGTCAGTCTTAAAACAGAATATAGTCTCTTAGAACCTTTGCCTTTAACCTTTGCCATTAACAAATGTAATGGCTTTTGCTTTCCAGTTTATTAGCATTTGGTCTGAATAATAAGACAATTAGACCATAAAACAATGTTATTCTAGGCTTCTAGGTTAAATTTAAGTAAGAACAAATTATAAATTACAAATTCTGGGAAATAGTCTTCATCAGCATAGAATTAAATTGTTACATTTTTTTTTCCAGAGGCAAAAAGACAAAAGTGGCTCAAAACCAAACCTGCCAAATAAGATTATTTATGATATTTAATATTCATTTGTTTTCATCTATACTCAAATTGTAACTTTTAAATTCATGCCATTAATATTTATAGATATGTTTTTCATAATTTCCCCTGTATATCAAGAGTAATAAGTTTTCTCCATTCTTAAAATATTTTGCCTTTGTCCAAATGAAGATAATGAAGATGTGTAACAGTTAACTAATGAATTAGGTTGTTGGTCTTAAATTTGCTTTCAGAAATTTATTAGCTACTTAAATATGAATATGTTTATAACATGTTTGTTATAAAGGCAAAGGAAGTGATGCCTATAAGTCCAGTGGGCTTTCTGTCTTCAAAGTGACTGTGATGCCTACCAGTAGATGCTGACCATGGAAATAAAAGTAGACTTTGATTCAGAGACAAACTGATTTAAAAAAAACAGATAGTTGACATTAGACTTTAAATTCGTGTGATCAACCTTTTCATTTTCTTTTCCCATTCTTGTCATATACCCACATTTATACTTTTAGTCCCTTCACGGTTGACTCTGTACCTTTTAGATTTGAAATAGCATGGTCTGGTGATTAGGCATCATTTAAATGGACAGCAGAATGTTGTGCTTGTAGGAGTGCCTTTACTGTATTTATTCTAAACAGCTCTTGGTAATGCTGATGGCATGTTTTTTTCTTTCTCTTTGATTTTTGTATTTAAAACCTCTTCATGACATATCCAATGACATTAAAAACAATAGGTTTGCATCTAAAAGTATTATAAACTGGTGATTCAACACCTTTAATGAAGTTCTAAATTTTGTGGTGGTGATAGGAAGATAGAATGTTATCGTAGTTCTGAGTGATAAGAACAGAGATCATTTGCTAGAAAATTTTATTGTGAATTTTCTTTATTATTTTTCTTAGAGGAACTGCTGATAAATCTGAATATGTATGTGTACCTGGGTTAGTGTGTGTATAATAATGTTCTTGGGCCTTTTGGATCAGTGCAGTAGATAAAAATTTATTTACAATGAAGATGGTCTTCTCTTACTCTAGCATAAATCAAGTCCAGGTTACTCAGTGTCAAGGTGGAACTTACTTTGTATTTTCAATACTCATACACCGTTGGGACCTGTTATCAATAAGGCACTTGAAATGTTTCATTTTTTATCAATGTTTAAAAACAACTGTGCACTAGAGAATTTTAAAAGTTTGTACCTCCTCATTATATCATCTCAACAGAGATATTTTCATTTACTGATTTCCTCAGTCCCTGTTTATTTATGGATTTCTTTTATTATTGGAATCATGTCTTTGTTTTCCATTTTAGCATAAAGATATTTTCATTGCTATAAAGTGTTCATCATAATTTTAATTACTATGTTGTAATTAGCACTATTCTTAGGTAAAACTCTTTAAAGTATTTGCTATATTTCTGTTATTATCTACTTCATATTAGCATTCAGTTTTTAAAAGACAGTGAAAATTACTGGATAATTCACAAATGAGAGAGGGAAGTTCCTGTGTTATTTATTTATCTTGTACTATCTGAGTAACTGCTAGCGTAGGCTTAGGTTTGTTTCTTTCAAATGCGCTACATTGTTTGTCTGATTTAACTTTGACTGTTGTTTCTACATTTTATATTTGTACATGGAAGTTGAAATAAATATTACATAAAACAAAGAAATGAAGTTTTATTTGATATTCAGTTCCAAAGATTTATAAAAGAAAACTGTTTTCCTATTCTTAAATAATAAATACGTGTGAATTTTAAGACCAATGTGTAATCCATATCAGTGCACTAATATTTCAGATATTTAAGCATTTATTCTTAAATTTGTCTGTAATGATAGTTACCAGGAATATAGTTTTATAACGAGTATAAAACACCAGAAGATATAATAAAGCTTGTTAGAGAAAGAAGTTAAAGCATAGTAGATATGATCTGCTTTTGTAGCAACTTGTAATACAGCAAATAGTACTTTTACTTCAAAGCTAACAATTATAGCCTTGAAAATACTCATCTTTCTCTGTGTATGTGGGTAAATGTTTATTTATGTAACCACAATTGTGCCTTATTTCTGAAACTTAGTTCCTTCTATGTTTATAAATTTGTACATTCCGTTATTATACTATTCCTTTTACTACCAGAATAATTATTATATTTTTAGTACTTAAGCCAAAACCTTTCCATTTCTGTGGTGTTTTAAAATAATTTAAAAGATATTTTTAGAGCATTTTAAACAAAATTTTTCCAAATAGGATAGATTAGATATTATACCCGCTTGTTTAGAGGGTTTAACATGGTTTATATATATTGTTTATAAAATTAAAAATTGGTTTTGTACCTTTGAATTATCTCTGACTATTCCTCTTGGTCTCTTTCCTTTCACTTACCTTTGTAAATCTTTAGATTTCTGAGTGGTTCCTACTTTCACCAAAGACCTTCCTTGTTGATCTTGAGCAACACTGTGTGCCTGGGTGATGGGGAGGTTGTATATATTCAGCCAAGATTCTTATTTGCGCAAACTTATATTGACACAAACTAGATAAAAGAGAATGATACAGAGAGTAACTTTTCATATCTTTAGACATAGCTGTGCCATTTTTCTAAAATGTAGTATCTAGCTATATTCTTACCTTTTATGGTCATTATGTTTTCAGGAACTCCCCAGAGTCCTCCTCCTTCATCAGTTGGCTAAGCAGGAAGGTGCATGGACCATCCTTCCGTTGTTACCACAGTGCGTATGTTTAACTTAAAATTACTGACACTACAACCTCAATTCTCTGTGCTCACTAATTTTTTTATTAAGAGGGTGTATTTTTTTCCTCAGTAAGTGAAATAAATTTGAGTTTTACTTTTTATGATTATTCTGTTAGCCAGGTTTCTTGATGATTGATTCTTAAAATGTAAACCTTTTATTTTTAAATGTATTTCTTCTTAAAAAATGTAACAGTTCAAAGTAATATTTGAAAATTCTTTGAATTCTGGACTGGTGGCAATACAGAGACAGTGAACTTTAAGAACAGTAATTATTCTGTACACCTTAGTATAAGAAAATTATAGAGGAAAAATAATTCAAATGTCTTCTCATTTTATCAATTTTTCTGTTTGCCTTTTATCAGTTTTCTACAAAAGTTTTAAATCTTATTAAATATTCGTTTTACATAAATGATCACTGTAATATATTTCTTTTTGTTAGTTTTTCTGTATCATATAGCAGAAATTCATCATGGATTTTCTTCTGTGAAGAAGAGACAAGAATACAAATTCCAAAACTCTTAGAAGCACTCAGACGATATGACGCATCTAAGGTAAATACAACTTTGAGGTCAGCACTTTCCTTTTTGGGGCATTGCTTCAGAGCATATTTAAATTTGATTATGAGATACTTGAATATAGTAAAAACACTTAATTTGAAATTGAAATTAATGAAATAATATTTAATCTGGAAAATTATGTTAAAATTTAAATAAAAAATATTAAAAATTCTCTGAAGTTTATAGTTTAGAGAGAGATGGGATGTATAATGAACCATTTTAAGTGAAAAAAGTCTGTCTATATGTGTTAGGAATTTCAGAGGTTTAGAAAACTATGCCTAGAGTTCTGTAACAGTTTATCCTAGAAAAAATTTTTAAAAAATCAGGTAGTAGGAAGTGTATTATTTTATATAGAAATACTTTTTGAATACCAGAAGTGTGTTAGGCTCTATGGATGACAGGCACTGGGACAGAACAGACGGGGATCCTGAGTGCATGGGTGGTAGAGAAGAACAGGGATGATGAACAGTTAGAAAATCAGTGATAGTTAAAGCTAACACATCTGTAATAATGGAAGCATAAGATGCTGTTACAAGAATTTAATAGAGTTTGAATGCTCAAATAGGATGAGTAGTAGGTAGCGGGAGAGGGAAGAGGATGGGTCAGGGAGAAGAAATGCTAAGAAGGAATGTATGTGAGAAGGGATGCATCTTGCCTTAGAGACACTCTTTGAAGTTCGCTACTGCACTCATATTTTCAAGTCTTCTTTGGTGCAGATTTGATATAGCAACTGTATTGTAACTGCCCTGAATCCTTAGTCTTACATAGACTATTTAACACTTAGGAGGTGGTCAGCGAATATTTGTGAGTAACCAAAAACCCTTAAATTATCATTTCTTCTAGGATGCATTCAGAGACTTGGTAGACTTACAGAGCTGCTTGAAAACACGGCAACAGTCAATCTGTAATTCAGTTTTCTTCCAGAAGCCCTGGTGGGCACCTGACCACATTGTGGACCTTTTAAACTTGATATAAATAGAGTCAGGCCTGCCCTAATCAGGTGCCCACTCCACAAATGAGTGGGGTTTAATGAGGGTCAGGACAATGACAAGCTGTGAGTGCCTGCTTGTGTGTTGTTACAAATGTAAAAGAGTTGGCCAACAGTGATCCAACAGTGATTGGTAGATTGATTTTTCAAATAGTGGATAATCTGTAATAAAAACAACTGATTTTGATGTACTTTAAATGATGAAAGGATTGGGAAAGGTACAGATACAATAGGATGAGATGGTCATTAAGTGAAAAAATATAATGTCTTCCAAGAAGAGAATTATGAACCTGTTTCATCAGTCTTTTCAGATGATGTTAACCTGCATCTGTGTATTTTTTTGCCATGTTTTATGTAAACCATTTGTTAAGCTTTTATGTTTCTTTTTGACTAGAGAAAAACTCCCAAATCTTTTTTTAGGATGTAGGAGTTTCAACCTCCTCCTAGTGTTCATTTCACCTGGAGATTATTTTCCTTTTTTCCATGGCTCTAATTCTGTATAGGAGATGGTAACTCACTGTGCTTTTTAAATGAAAATTGGAATGATAAATGTAAAGTTCAAAGCAAGTTCATGAAAAGCAAGTACAGAACAGAGGTAAAATGAGACTTTTTCTCCTCTTTTCTGAACTCTGCCATGTGGGAAAAAATCTAGGATGCTTTATTTCTCTTGAAACTAGCATTAGGAATAAAGATTACATAATGTTGAAGTTAGTACAAACTGGTGTGGATTTGTCCCTTACTACTTGAAATCATAGGAAAAAAACATAAAGCAAATCTGGTTTTGATATTGACCCAAATAAACTTCATTAAATACTAATTATTAGTGTGTTAGGGGATTAGGTATTTTATGTGATTCTAATTTTTTTCAGTATCTTTTATTCTTTTCTTCATTCTTACAAATGTAAATTTATACTGTAATACAGTATTTTAAATGTAAAAATAATCTTTGTTAAATTGTTTCCTAGGTGATTTCTATAAATTTTCATATCTTGTTTGAAGTCTTTGTTTTATTCCCACAGTTTGCCTTTAATATATGTGTGTTTGATGAAGTGTATTAACCTTTTGATTTATTCTTAATAGAAGTGAAACACAGATGCTGGTTAAGAACAATTCTAAGATACTATTAGTAAAACATTGTCTCTATTATTCTTTAAAAGTTTATCTTGATTATAATTGTCCTTTTCATGAAGCTGTTAAGAAAATCATTAACAAAGTTGGAGGTGTAGCTCTTTCCGTGGATTGTATTGATTTTCTCCCTAAAGTACTTTATAACCTGTACAAAATATTGAAAAATAATTGTATATACCTTATGATAGCTGAATTGCAGTTAGATAAAATATAACAACATAAATTTTTACATAAAATTATGTTTGGAACAGGAGACCTTAATGAAAAATTACTAAGAAGGGATCAAAATATATTGAGGTATTCATTTTCTTTATATTAAGCTATACTAGCATGATATGTTAAATGGAGTGATTTTCATATTAAGGTTTAATAATTTGATAAAGAGCTGTAGTATTGATTTTTTTTTTTGAAAACCTGTTAAATTTCTCAAACTGAGGTCAGTTACCTTGATACTTGACATTCTCACTGGTAGTGACTTAATGTATCCACAGGCAAAGTATCAAGAAGAAAGCTATTATGTGAGTCTGTGAATCTAAATGTAGTCATGTTAATAGCTTCTACACACATTCTTTTATATCCTGTTGCTGAATTGACCAGAACTAGGGCCCTGGGAGTTATTTAGGATCCAATCACAGTACAATAATGCCCTTAAAAATACTTAAGAGTATTTAAGTACTTTACCTTTCTGCTTTTATATACTGTTTAGGAATAGAGAAACATGGCATTAGTTTGATAAGAGAAAAAATATACAAAACCTTTAGAACTTAGGGTACTTGATTTAAATCACATATTTTAGTTTCTTCAGCCTCTCTGGGGCTTGCTTTATTCATTTAACAAAAACTTTTGAGTACCCATACATGTTAGGCGTACTGGGCAAGACAGCAGTGAACAAAATAAACAATATCTGTACCATCACGGAAGTGGTACTCTTAATCCAGGGAGATAAACAATAAGCAAAAATTCAAATAAATATATGATCTGTCAGATTGTCAGTCTGACATGTCATGATTGTCAGATAGACAAGTGCTAAGGAAAAAAATAATGCAGGCTAGGGGGTAAAAGACAGATTGAGGGTGGACTTAGAAGTTTGTGTAGGCGTTTCAAGGAGTAGCTCACTGAGCTCATATGGCAGAGTCTAAAGGAAGTAGGAAGATATGCTAGGTGCAACCCTTTCCTATATCAGGCTGTCCACTAAATATCTCTGCTTATCTAGAAATCTTGGACTTGATGTGTTCCAAACCGAGCTCTTAATGTCCTCATAAACCTCTTTCATCTTTAGTCCTCCTCTTCTCAGAATTGGCATCAGTGTCCCTCCATCTTTTCATATAAAACATGTAGGATTTGTGGTTGATTCTCCTCCCCCCCTTCAACTAAAAGTTGATCTTCCCAGTGGATCTATTTCCAAAATATCTCTTTCATTTAACTTATCTCCATATTTAATAGTGCTATTCTGGTCAAGGTTACCTTGACCTACACCTCTCTCACCTTGAGTGTAATAGAGGCCCTTACCTGTTTTCTTGGTTTCTGCTCTTGTCAGCCTAATAATCTAGCATTTCAATAATTCAGATCCTGCCACTCTGCTGCTCAAAAACTTCCTTTGGTTTCCCATTCCACCAAAGATATTTTCACTGGATATAACATTGTCAGTTGGCAATAGTTTTCTTCCATTACTATAAAGGTGATGTACCATTGTCTTTACTTTCCATTAATTCTGTTGTAAAGTCAATTGCATATCATGTTTTTGTTCCTTTGAAAGAGGTGTGTATACAGTACCTCTTTCCCTCCCTGGACACTCCCCCAAAACACACCATCTGCTTTAAAATTTTTTCACTATCTTTGATTTTGAGCAGTTTTATCGTTATGTACTTATGTGTGGTTTGCTTTTGTTTGTCCTGATTAGATTTTATAGGGCTTTTTTAATCTATGTCTTGTTGGCTTCAATTAGTTTTAGAAAATTCTAAATTTATTCAGCTATTGCTTTAGTTGGATTCTGTCTCTGTTCTTACTCTTGGTTTCTGATTTCATGCATTGCAGAGCTTTCCTCTGTGTCTTATATTGCTTTGAGGTCTTTTCTTTATTGTCCTCTTTTTTTTTTCTTTTTTGTACATCAATCTGGATTTTTTTGCTGACTTATCTTTCAGATCATGAATCTTCTCTTCCATTGTGTTTAATATCTTTCTGAATTCCTATTAGATTTATTTAGTTTAGGATTTCCATCAGACTCTCCTTTATAAATCCTAGTTGTACAGTTCTCTATCTTTTAATTAAGCATATTAATCATAATTATTTTTTAAAATTTTTGATGACTATAAAGTGTTATTTACCTGTGCATCTCTTTGTTTTTCACCTCCTCTTTTTGTCTTTGTTCTCGTCTTATTTCTTGCTCTGTGTGATAGGTTTTGACTAAATACCAAATATTTTATGTGAAAAATTGTCTGAGATGATAGCAACTTTCTACAGGAGGATGTAGTATTCTGCATTGTGGACCTTGTTTGGATAGATCTGGAGCTCTAGGAAGCCCTAAACAATACTGGTGTCTTAGTATCACAAGACAATGGAAGGTTTTACTCAGATTTTTATCCTCTCTTCTTTTGCTTTCCACTCACTTTTTGTCTTTTGCCCTTGGTTTTTGTGTTGCTGAGATAGTTAAGGGAAAATTTCATCAGAATCTTGGGCTTACTTCTCTGAGATCCCCTAAATGTCCTTGGTAGTCTCTACCCTCTGTCTCCTCAGTCCAAGGAGATAGCAGAAATTCTCAGTTACTGTTTGCTGCCTCATATTCACAGCTGGGGAATTGGCAAATGCCTTAAGTGAAAGAGGCTGCCAATCTGGGTTTCCTGTGAATGTTTTTTCCAGTTCTAGATCTTAACCCTTTCATGTCCTTGTCTGCTTTTCTTATTTTCTGATGTCTTCGGTCATTTATTTTGTATATTTCTTTAGCATATAAACTTGTTTCTAGTGAGAATAGGACTGATCCAGGCTATTCTGTTGTGGTCAGAAGTAGAGGTCTTTCATTGCACTTCGAATCTGTATTTCTTCCCTCTGACACATAAAACATGCCCTGGTCTACTCCTCTTTTATTCATGCTTCCCAATTCTACTCTGTGCTAGATTTTTCTTTTCATTTAGTGTATCAAGATTCTTTCTACCCCAGGGATTTTGCATTTACTGTCTCAGTTGCTTGTCCTCAGATTTTTGCACAGTTGACTCCTTGATACTCTTTTCTCTTTCCTTTCATTTGATATATCTAAGCGGTTTCCTCTCTTTCTAGGGTATCCCCCATTCAGTTACTATATTGATTTACTTAATTTCCATCTCTCCATATAGTATAAGCTATGTTTCTGTATTGAATATTAAATTTTCCATGAATACTTATTGAATGAATAAATAAAATAGGTATGGATTCTTGGAGGAATGTTTCAAGTCTTTCTATGAAAACCTAAGTGGAACATAAAGAACTATGGCTTTCTTCACCATAAATATATATATTGTATATATATATTTTTGTTTTTGTTTTGTTTTGCTTTTTGAGACAGGGTCTCACTATGTAGTTGAGACTGACCTGGAACTCACTATGTAGCCCAGGCTGGTCTTGAACTCACAGCAATCCTCCTGCCTCAGCCCCCTGAGTGCTGGGATTACAGGTGTGTACCACCACGCCCAGCTCATGCTAATATTTTTTATGGAATATTCTAGAAAATACAACTTTTATACATTTATGGTATAATGATGGTTATTCATATTGATGATCTGATCTTTAACTATTTTTATATGTATAAATTATGATGTTATCATAATTATGTGTTTTTCAAATTCTGTAGAAATATATAATTTGTGCTGTCTTATCACCTAAGATATAATTAACTAAAAGTGATGATATGACCTTGTTTCTGGTCTTACATGAAATGGCTTTTTAAAAAAATTACATTTTATGTTTTTTTTTTTTTTAACAGGAGTGGTTTTTAGGAAAAGCATTGCATGATGAAGAATCTACAATAATTCACCATTATGCCTTTTCTGAAAATCCTACGGTTTTTAAATATCCAGATTTTGCTGCTGGCTGGGCCCTTAGTATTCCACTTGTTAACAAGTAAGAATATATTATTAGGCTTTTGTGTGTGTGGATCAGCTTTTACTTCACTGAGCTCTGTTAGTGTTGGATCTCAAGATCACAAATGAGTTTTTCAGCCAGAGGCATGTGATAGAGTGGGAAAAGGGAACTAGGAGCAGAGCCCTAAGGGTTCTTGCTTCAGTTCTGTCAATTTCCAGTCCCCTTAGACAAATCACTCAATCTCTCTCTCCTTCCTCTTACCTGCAAAATAAGGCAAGTAATAAGTTACGTGATTAAGGGAGACCAGGTAAATGCTTTGAGAACTGTGCACATGGAAACATTACCATCGTGAAGGGACCTGGTTTCTTATTATAACTTTGATCCCCAATAAGAAAATGCTTCAGTAAGGTGCCCGGGTTGGGAGCTGATGGCTAATTGTGTGTGTTTGTCTGCACACTTGTACCCTGGCTGGGCAGGAAACAAAGCTGGCTGTAGGTAATTATGCCTAGCTTTCATATGCAGAGCTGCAGTGATGCTGTCTTAGTATACATGATTAAGTTGTATGTAGTTCAGGAGATATAGTTATTGATAGAACCTTGTTATTTTGAATTCTTTAGATTAATTATATATTTGTGGTCTTTAGAGAATGAGAAGTTGTTAAAATATTTTTAATTTTTGTATCCTCAGATATAATATCTCACAAAGTATTCTATTTCCTGGGTTTGGGATTTTGAAGAAACAGAATAAGAGATACCGTGTCATTCATGGCTAGCTAAGAGTTCTTCACTATTACCTTCACAAATCTGTACAGCATAATATTCTCTTTCCCAGTATGAAATCTAAACAACACTACCACAGCACAACCACCCGTGTGGGACTGGGTGTAGCTTAGTGGTGCAGTGTTGCCTAGCATATGTGGACCATTGGTTCCATTTTTAGCACCATAAAGAACAAACAAACTCAAAGTCAGAAACAACAGCAAATCTTATATTTTATTTTTAAAATTTATTTTTAACTGATACGTCCATACATAAAAATTTACATACTAATAGGGTACCATGTGATATTTTTTTTGTTTTGTTTTGTTTTGGTACCAGGCATTGAACTCAGATCCTTGAGCTTGCAAGGCAGGCCACTGAACTGCTGAGCTAAATCCCCAGCCCTATGATATTTTGATATATGCATCTAGTTTGTACTGTATAAACCAGGTTACATATTTCTATCCCCCAAACATTTATTATTTATAGTGAAAAAAAAATCTAAACTCCATTCTTCTAGCTTTTAGAAATATAGTATATAATGATTGCTTGCAGTCACTGTTCTGTACAGTAACACATCAGAACTTCATACTCTTGTCTGGCTGTAACTTATTACCCATTTGGTTAACCTTTCCCAGCCTCCCTCCCACCTACTTTCCCCAGCCTCTTGTAACCACCACTATACACTTGACTTCTATGAGACCAACTTTTTTTTTTTGAAACAGGATCTTGCTGTGTATATCAGGTTGGCCTTGAACTCACTGTGTAGCCCAGGCAGGCCTGGAACTCATGGAAAGTCTCCTGCGTCAGTTTTTCAGGTGCTGAGATTATAGGCATACACCACCACCACTGGCTTGGAGACCAGCTTTTTTATATTCCATATCTTGAGTGAAATCATGTAGTACTTGTCTGGCTTATTTCATTTAACATAATGATTTTCACTTCCAACCATGTTGATGTAAATGACAGGATTTAATTCTTTTTGTTGTTGTTGTTGCTTAATAGCATTTCATGGTATAAAGATACCATGTTCTTTTTATCGATTCATCAGTTGATGGTCACTTTAAGTTGTTTCCGTCTTTTGTCTACTGTGAATAATAACTGCAGCCAACATGGGGGTGCAGATGTTTGTTCAACATACCGATACCATTTCCTTTGGATATATACAGCGTGTAGTGGGGTAGCTAGATTGTATGGTAGTTCTCTTTCTAAATTTTTGAAGAACCACCCAGCTGTTTTTCATACTTTCCTAATGTACATTCTCACCAACAGTGAACATGGGTTCCTTTCTTTCCACATCTTTACCAGCATTTGTTGTCTTTTGTCTTTTTGATAATAGCCATTCTTATGGAAGTGAGGTAATGTCTCATTGTGGTTTTAATTTGCAAGAATTCTTTTTTCCCAGCCTAGCTCAAGCATCCACACACTTTACACTCTCTGTTCTTAGAAGGATCAGGGAAGAAGGGGTGGGAATGCAAGAAGAGATAGTTGCTACCAAATATGCTTGCTATATTTCCTTCTGTTATTTTTTCATGTATTTACTTGCTGCTTTTACTTCTTTGTCTGAGAAATGTCTGTTCAGTTCAGATGCCCATTTTTGAATCGGGTCTTTATATTTGGGGGGAGCTGATTGTTTTGAGTTCTTTATATATTTTAGATAATAGTCCTTTGTCTGAAGAGCAGCTGGTAAAAAGTTTTTCCCACATTGTAGGTTGTCTCTTAGTTCTGTTGATGTTTTCTTTTTCAGTGCAGAAGCTTTTTAATAAGATGAGATCCCAGTTGTTGATTCTTTCTGCTAGTTCCTGTGCTACTGAGGATTTGTTCAAAAAGTCTTTTCCTATGCCAGTGTCTTCAAAAGTTCTGCCTAACTTATCTTCCAGCAAGTTTAGTGTTTCTGTTTTAATATTTAGATCTTTAATCCACTTGGATTTTAGTTCAGTGCATGGTAAAAGATAAGGGTCTAGTTTTAATCTTTGGCAGGTTGAGATCCAGTTTTTCTAACACCATTTATTAAAGAGACTATCTTGCCTCCAGTGAGGATGGTCAGCTCCTTTGTCAAAGATGAGGTAGCTGAGTACATCTGGAGTTGTTTTTGTATCTTCCAGTCTGTTCCACTGATCCTCAGGTCTGTTTCTTTCCTAGTACCATGCTGTTTTTAATCACAGTGGCTTTGTAGTATAATTTCAAATTGGGAATTGTTATACCCGCTGCCATGTGTCTGTTGCCTAGGATGGCTTTTGCTGTTCTAGGTCTCTTCTGGTTCCAAATGAATTTTTGGATTATTTTTTCTAGTTCTGTGAAATATAGTGTTGGAATTTCAATTGGCATTGCATTGAATCTGTATAGCAATAGCATCCAAAAAATGAAGTATCTAGGAATCAATCTAACGAAAGAAGCAAAAGACCTCTACACTGAAAACTACAGCACTCTGAAAAAAAGAAATCGAAGAGGATATAAGAAAATGGAAAAATATCCTCTGCTCTTTGGTAGGATGAATCAACATAGTGAAAACGGCTATACTACCTATTTCCTATTTATCTCTAGTAGTAGAGAACTTCTCCTGCTCTGAAAAGTAAGTGCTTATCCTTTCTGTTTGGGCCAATTTAAGGCACTGTACCAACACATAGAATTTCAGTGGTTTGGTTGGCCCTGACTAATCATGCTTTGACCCTGGAGCCTATTTAATTATTGGACTCAGTATTTAATCAAAATCAGAATTTACTTAAGAAAGAAGAGGAAACTGCATAATATAGACATGAACACTGCTTACTTAGCTGTTGAGTTCTTTTGTTTAATTTCTTTGACTTAGTAGCTCATTTCTGAGGTAAATTAATAATTTGCAGTTACTTATTTTGTTCTGCCCAAGTCATCATGAGAAACTGGATACTTAAAACAAATTTCACGTTATATATTGTCTTAAAGTATTTCCCATCAAAAGTCACCTTTGGCCTAGTAATCCCACATCAATGAGTTGGATAATACTATCCAATGCTCAACATTTCCAGCAAAAGACCCACATGAGGATCATGTAACATTCCCTAGTGATCTGTCTTCATTATTTTATAAAAAGCTTGCATCTTTGAGAAACTCTTTTATTTTTAATTCCCAATAAGATGATTTTCTTCAACTATATGTAATTACAGAAAACTTTTGGTGGTTTTCTTCATTGCTTTTCCACCAGAAAACTTTATTTAAATTGTTTTCCAAGCCGGGTGTGGTGGTGCACACCTGCAATCCCAGCACTCATGAGGCTGAGGCAGGAGGATCACTGCGAGTTCAAGACTAGCCTGGGCTACATAGTAAGTTCCAGGACAGTTTGAACTACCCAGTGAGCCAGTCTCAAAAATAAATAAATAAATACATACATACATACGTACATAAAATAAATGGTTTTCCTTCCTTAACTTGCTCTGTTTGCTCTGTTCATTGATTTACAAGCAAAACTAGAAAAGTGAGTTTGGAAGTTTTACTGGTACTCATTTAAAGGGACTTCAAATCTTTTGTATACCTCCAGTTTAGCTGGTTCTGTCATTAGAAGTGTGCTGTTGGGGGCATGGCATAACAGCTTTTAAATATAAGGATGACTAAGTGCCCAATGGCATGTGAAGAACTGTGTGATCCAAGTAACTAAAATTTCTGGGCTTCATTGGTTTTGGGCATTGTAAGTTACTAAAATGCACAGTTGAAAAAATGTGTGCTATCTTGCTTGATGCATAGGAAAATGAAAAGTACTTACCATTTTTAGGGATTGCTCTTTAGTTTTTCCTGAAAGAAAACTTCTCAAGAACTAAGTGAGAAAAAAACTTGAAAAGTTAAAAAAAAAAAGTACATATTCAAAGTAACAATTTGTGAGTATATTAGGAAGGGTGTGTGAAGCGTAACCATCAGTAGTGACTGTCACGTGCCACTTGGTTTCTGATCGTCTCTGTGCCCTTTGCCTGTGGCAGTAAGCCCAGGTATGATGTTTCCTGTCTGTGGAGTCTGAATGAGATGAATACTTTATGGTCCGATCCAATTTCGAAGGTACATGACACGAATCTAAATTCCAGAGATACCCTGATAAAATTGATTTATGAAAACTGATTACAACTGAGTAGAATTCAAACAGGATAGGATTCCATTTGCCAGAGCAGATTTTTTTCTCCTTTATATATTTTAGGAATATATCTGAGGGTGTAGTTTCTCTGTGACTCTGACCCACTCATTCTGACAGGTCTGTGCACAGATAATGAGCTGGATTGTGACAGTTAGCTCTTGGGCCTTCTTTTGTTGTTCCCTACTGCTAATACATTCCTATCAACTATGAGGCAATGCTTTATAAACATAAATTATAATCTACATTTGTCCCTTTTATCTTTCCTGTAATCAGAAGTGAATTTTTAAAAATTTTAATTGATACATGATTATAATATTTATGTGATATTGTGATACGTATGCAGAATATGTAATGATTACATCAGGGTCATTTCTCTTTTAGCTATCTGGAATATGCAGTAATTATTATTAACTATAGTCATCCTACTGTCATATAGAAAAATAGAACTTACCTGCTAAGTTTTTTTTTTTTTTTTTCCTGGTACCAGAGATCAAACTCAGGACCTTGCACTTGTGAGGCAGGTGGCAGAACCACTGAGCTAAATTCCAGGTCCTGCTAAGTGTACTTTTATACCTATTAACCAACCCTTTCCTATCCCTACTTCCTTTATATCCTTATCTGGTAATCATTATTTTACTATTTAACAAATGGATTGTTAAAGGAATTTTTCATGGCCCAATCAGCGTAAGATATACAGTAATTAAAAATGCAGTACAAATTTTTGAAACTTATTATGACTTTCTTTTAAAAATCACTGTTTTCTTCGTAGTTAAAAATACGTATTAGGGGTTTTATAATTGAAGTTGGTGACCCAGTCAACACTGGGTCAAACAATATTTATATGATATTTAAGTGATTTTGGTAAATACGTAATTTTGTCTCAGTCAGCTAGTAGCAAAAGAATATATAGTCCTTCATTGAGGGAGTTCGTGGTGCTCATATTGTTCAGGAACACTGGGCAGTGCTTTGATACAAAGATATTGTAGTACAGTGAAGGATGTGTGCAGACAAATGTTAATGCATATTATAGGGCTGTGCTTTGTACTCGGGGAACAAAGGAAGTTTTCTTTCTGCTGGGCAGGTCTGGAAGAGTTTCCCAGAGAAAGTGCCCTTGGATTTGGTCTTGAGCTGGAAAAGGTTGCTAAGTAAAGGTTGGCTATAGACACATTAGTCAGCTGTCGTGTGGGGAGGAGCGTGCAGTTGATCGAGTGAGTACTAAGAGGGCAGATGGTGAGGAGAGCTGTGCTGTCAAGGCCAGTCAGGATTTTGAGGCTTTATTCTCTGGGAAAGGAGGCACAGAAGATTTTGTTTTAAAGAAAAAAGTCTCAAATAAAAATAACTTATTCTACACCAGGCATGGTGGCGCATGCCTGTAATCCCAGCACTTGGGAGGCTGAGGCAGGAGGATCGCTGTGAGTTCGAGACCAGCCTGGGCTACATAGTGAGTTTCAGGTCAGTCTCAACTACATAGTGAGACCCTGTCTCAACCCCCCCCCCCAAAAAAAACTTAGTCTACCCCAAATCCACCTTTTTTTCTCTAAAAATACCCCAACCTAATAATCCATTAAGATTATTAAAAGTAGCACTTTTGTTTCTTTATCACGGACACTTTTTTTCTTTTTATCCCCCTCTGTCATTATTTAATGTAAAGGTTATTATGGTCAACAAAGTACATGGTTTTATTTCCCAAAACAATGGATTAGATTGGATTGGGTTGGATTTGATTAGGTTGGAGTGAATGTTATTGGGTAGATGTTGGAATAATGAGTGCTGTATCTGCAACAAGTTTTGCATTCATGTACTGGTCAGCAAACCATTGTATTTTTTAAATTCCTTTTCATCAAGAAAGTTATACTCTTACTTCTATCTTAAAATTTATATTTGTATCTATTTTCAAATCATTAAAAGTCTCAGAAATATATTATTCTTATTTGATACTTTTTCTGGTTAAAAAAAATCAATTGTCTCTATTTTCTAGGCTCACCAAGAGATTAAAGAGCGAATCCCTGAAATCTGACTTTACGATAGATTTAAAACATGAGGTATGTTGGCTTATTTGATTAAAAGTCTTAGTGATGAAGAATTGATCTTGTTGGGGAGGTGTCACTCAGTGGTAAAACACTTGCCTACCATGCACAAGGCCCTGAGTTTGATCCTTAGCAAAATAAATAAATTAATTAATTAAAAGAAAAAATGAAACAAGAAAGAATTTATGTCTCTTAATATAAAAGGTGTTTTGTATTCCCTAACAGTGCATTTTTCCCAACCCGCACATGTGTCATCTCCCCACTGAGGTAATTTCACAGCACTCTGGTGAGTTAGGTCCTTCTATTTTAAGCTAATTTTAGTTATGTAGGTAGAGAAGGAGCAGTGAAAAATCCCAAATCTCACAATTCATGATTCTTTGTTTTTAAAGTAGGTGGGTGGGTCCAGGAATGAATTTCAAAAACCATGCAAAAATGTCATTAAAAATATCTCTGGTCTTAACTTAGTGCTTTGGTTATATGTATGAAGATGTAGACTAAATGTTTGTGTCCACTCACACAAATTTCTGTTTAAGTAGAATTCCTAATGTAGTGGGCTTTGAGAAGTGATTAAATCATGAGGTTGGAGTCCTAAAGAATGGGGTTAGCACCCTGATAAAACAGACCCTAGAGAACCTTTCCCTCCTCCCCCCATGGGCAGATACAGAAAAGAGATGTCACCTGTGAACCATGAAGCAGATGCTTATTGGATGTGGATCTTCCGGCACCTTGATCTTACACTTCCTATCTTCTAGAGCTGTGAGGAATAACATAACATTCCTTGTACGCTACCCTATGTGTGGTATTTTGTTTTAGCAGTCTTAAGAGACTATAAGTCATTTGACTTTGATATGTACTTGTGCTTGGCTCTCTAAAGTAGAGCTGAGCCAATTGATCCCAAGCATGCAACTATGGTGTGCCATGCTGGGCCCCTGGTATTCAAGATTCCTTGTATTTCTTGGTTATCTTGAGCAGATGACTATGTGTCCTGCCACTAATTGCTCCAAATAGCCAGTAAGCCAAGTTCCTGTTTTCATTCATGGACTTGCCTGATTATCTAAAGCAGTCTCACTTTTCACTCTGCAGGAATAAGTATCTAAGGACATTGAGGCGACTCTTGACCTGTTACTCAGTTCATCTGCATGGTCAGCCTTCCATAAGTGAAAAGCACACACTCAAGAAGATGTTTTTTACTTCTGGGGCGTTTTAAAATGATGAAACAGCTTATTTGAGGACAAATATACTTTAAAAAATTATTCTGTTCTATGAAAAGGAAAGAATGACTTGTCAAAAACCAGACTAGAACTATTTAGTGAAGAATCAGTTCTGAAATAAATATTTAGGCTTGAGAATTTATGAAATGTGCTAACATATGTGAAAGATACAAAGATCACTTAACAAAATGCCTGTGCAGCTCACTTTGTTGAAGAGAGAAAATAGTATCAGTTGCTTTGAGGTTATCTATACATTTCTCTTCAGTGGGTGAACCCCTTTGGTAAAAGATATGGAGAGAATTTCATGCCCCTAAATTAGAGAGCCTATGTTCTCTATTTTCTATTTATGAAAATTTGGCATGAATTAGACCATAATGTAAGTAAAAAAAATTTGAATGATTGCTATGTAGACCATAGTAATACTAAGATACAACAAAGACAGTAATAACACACCTAAGTATATTTAGTCACAAAGAAAAATGTATTTTTTAGGAAGTGGGTCATAGTTTAAAAAAAAAGAAAGAAACTGAGAGCAAGTACTTTGGAATTCTCCTTCTTACTTTTCGTTATATTTTATGACATATGAATGTATTTCTGAATAACATGTAGTTTTGCACCTTTTTAGGTTTTATATAAATAGAATTGCATCATGAATTATAGACTGATCTGTTGTTAGTGTATGCAGCTCTAGTTAACTTATTTTCACTTCTATGACTACTATTTGTGATCTCTTACCATATGTGACCATGCCAACATTCATTCATTTTATTTTTCCTTTTAGTGGACTTCTCAATGGCTCTTGTCTTTTTGCTGTTTATGAACATTGTTTCTATGGATATTTTGATGTGTGGTATGATGATCATCTCTAAGGCAGAGGCATTTAAATATTTTTTCTTTTTTTTATTGCTGCATGTTTGCTGTACACAATGTTTACATTTCTTCTATGGAGTTGGTACATATACATAATATTTTTCTTTGTGACATGGTGTCTTTGTGATTTGTTGGGCCTGGGATTTAGCTCAGTGGTTCTACCACCTGCACCTCAAGAGCACAAGGTCCAGAGTTCGATCCCCAGTACCCCCCCAAAAAATAGGTATATAATTTGTTATTGTGGTTTTCCTTATTGATTTCTAGCAGTGTTTTTGTAGTCTGTATCGGTCTACAGGCTTAGTATATTGCAAGTCTTTAGGCTTAGTACATTGCCTACCTCACAGTCAGTTTTCACATAGAGGAAAGGATGTATAGTCTCTAATATGGGGCTATAATAGTCTCTCTCATCACTGATTAAAGAATGAATTAATTTTACTATACAGATATTTTCCTTTCTTCTTTCTTTTTCCTTTTTTCCCATTGTTTCCTCTTTTGGGGGGGCTGATTTATCATTTACTAAGGGAGCAATGTGGAAATCTTCCACTATTAGAGTAGATTTGACAGTGACTCCTTGTGGAACTGTCTTGCTTTCTGTACTCTGAGACTATGTTAATTTACTTTGCTAGTTTAGAATTGTTACATCTTCTTAGTAATCTGCCATTTAGATTAATGCTCTGTGTAATTTTTTTTTTTTTTTTTTTTTTTTTTGGTACCGGGGATTGAACTCGGGTCCTTGCCCTTGCAAAGCAGGCCACTGAACTGCTGAGATAAATCCCTGGCTTTTTTTGTTTTGTTTTGTTTTTTGAGACATGGTCTCACTGTGTAGTTGAGATTGACCTGGAACTCACTATGTAGTCCAGGTTGGTCTCTAACTCATAGTGATCCTCCTGCCTCAGCCTCCCGGGTGCTGGGATTACAGGCGTGCACCACCACACCTGGCTCTGTATAATTTATTGGCATAAATATTTGTGCACTGGCTTTCTTGGGCTTCATAATCATGTTTCATTTTTTTCTTTTAAACTTTTTAAATCCTTATTTTTAGATGCATTTTTAAAAAGGGTATGCTTTTCCCCCCTTGGTGTCATAATTGTGATCTGAAGACCACACATTTATATTTTACATTGATTATGGTTACTAATATGTTTGGATTGATTTCTATCACTTTATCCACTCCCTCCCTTTCTCTCTACTTTTCTTTTTAAATGTTTTTTGCCTTTTTAGTTTTAGTCCATATTTTGCTTCCTTTATTAGTTTGGAAGTTGAATCTCTCTGTCTGTACTTTATAGGTTATGTAAAATGTTTTCACATACATTCTTAACCTAACAATGGCTAGTTAATCAATATCCAGAGAATTAAAGGGCATTAGGGTAATTTAACACTGATTGTCTCCCTCTCAATTCATATGCTATTATTGTTCAGTAGTTTGACCTCCATCCCCTATTAGTTATTTTCATTACTTTAAGGAGTTAAACTTCGTATTACCTTCACCATGTGTTTGTCAGCATCTTTGGGACCATTCAGTCTTTTTTTTTTTTCCTTCTGGTACTTGAGATAGAACTCTGGACCTTGCACTTGCGAGGCAGGAGGCAGAACCACTAAGCTAAATCCCTGGCATTCAGTATTTATTTTTAGATCTTCTTGGGATCACTTTAGTTCTTTCTGAAATACATCCTTGAGAATCTCATATTCTCACTTCTTTTCCTTTAAACATCCTCATTCCATAGTTACATCACGTGTACAATTCTCTATTGCCAGTCATTCTTGCTGAGCACAATGATATGATTCCAAGGCATTCTGGTTACTAATGTGTTGTTAAGATCAGTCTTTAGTCATTAATGTGGTTCCTTTTTAGGTGATCTGTCATTTTGTATCTGCTTTTAACACTCTTTGACTTTAGTGTTCTGCACTATTAGTGTGATATATCTAAATGTGAACTCTTGTGTAATCCTGCTTAGGATTCATTGGTCCTTTCTATAATAACATTAGTAAGCAACCCTTTGAAAAGTCTCAGCCATTGTTTTTTGAGCTATTTTATCATCCTTGTTCTTTATCTCCTTAAGGAACTTCAGATATATCTTAGAAATATGGATTTTGTCTTATATGTTCCATTTTTATTTTTCACTGTGTTATCTTTTAGATAATTTGAGGGGCTTTATTTCTTAGATCCCTTATTTTTTATTTGGCTGTATCTAATATGCTATTCATCCTAACCATTATTATTTTCATGTTCTTTATTTCAAGTGTTGTATTCAGTTGTTTTTCAAATTTACTTTCTTGCTTCATATTTACTTGCTTCAAATTTACTTTCTTGCTTACCTTGTAAAGGTTTTTATTTTATAAAAATATGTTAAGTGTAGTAGTTTTATAGTCTATATTTGATAATTCTAACACGCAGTCTTATGGGCCTGATTGTTGTGCCTTCCGGCTCTTGTTCATCATCTCATTTCTTCATACTTTTTGTGTACTTGCTATAATTTTTTTCGTGGTATTCTTGTTTTCCTGAAACTTTATTTTGGCAATTGTCTGACCTACATTAAGGTTTTAGGTTTCTTAATGTAAGGATTTGTGTTAGTTTCTGCTTGCTGCTGGCAGGTTACACTGTACTGATTTAGTACATCGTTGTACTGTGCTGACTTTACTGCATTGGACATGTTTTTAAGCCTTACAAACCCAGAAGCCTAGCTTTTGGTCACAGAATTTTAAGAAGAGATTTAGAGGTTATTTTGCCCTTCATGTATGGAGCTCCAGTGACCCAGCTTTATATTACTTTGCCTCATCTTGGGGCATTCAATTCACTGTCATCAGAACCTCTGTGTTTTCAAAGGTCACCTGGCGCCTACTGGCAAAACCACCTTTGGTGCCTTTACCCCAGGCTTTCATTTTTACAGTTTTGTCCTCACAGCTTCCATACTTTTGGATATGTTTAGCAGTACATTTAAAATAAGTTTAAAGACATGTTAGTTAATATTTTTTATATTTTCAGCAAGTCGGCTGATTAGGGTATGTAACTATTGGACTATAGGAAACTCTGTAGAGCTCCAATACTATTTCCTTATATCTGTCTCTGCGGTGTTTTAGAGTATGTTCTTCCCTGCAATTGCTTATCACCACTTTGGAATATTTTGGAGATTAGAGTATTGATTAGTGATTGTTTGTAGACAATAAAAGATCAGACTGATGTGTATGACATTGCTATTTTTAAGTTTAAAAATCTGGTTAAATATTGACAAATTGATATGGTTCAATCTAGCACTCTTTCTGGAAGGTGTTTTCTACTTTCCTTGAGATACTTATGTTTTTATACTTGTGCTAGCCAGGTTCCTTCCTCATGCTGGTCTCTTGTCTTGCTAGATTGCCCTCTACATCTGGGACAAAGGTGGAGGACCTCCCCTTACCCCTGTGCCCGAGTTTTGTACAGAAATTATGGACTCACACTGTGCTACCACATTCCATTCTTTTCTGCCACTTTGTGTAAGTAAAGAAAAGGTTACTTACCTTGCAGACCAAAGGAAAATTTGTATACTATCCATTACATTGTCCTAGTACTTTGCATACTAGAAACAAACAGCGTTTGCTTAGGCCAGACCAAAACCCCATATCATGCACTTAGGGATAATCTGGTAGGAACAAGGTATTGATACCCATCTTCCATAAGAGACAAGAGGCAGGCACAGAGAAGTTACCATTACCACACCTATGCCTAGCTGCTCTTAACTTGAAAGCCAATACCTGGGAGCCAAGAAGTGGAAAGAAGGAAATCAAGTTTATTAAAGAGCTGGCATCCTGAGAAGATGGGTGGCATTTTGCCTCAGATTCCCTCTTGGGGAGCTCAGAGTACAAAAAGGTTTTATAAAGAGGGAAAGGAGGAACACAGCACAGTGGGCACTAAGTACTGAGTAGGATCTCTGTCATCTAGGCCATCTGTCTTTTTTGTAATGGACCTTAACGTGGGGCTAGTTCCTATACTTCTTTGGATATATTTTTTCTGCAAGTTGAATTTCACAATAATGTGTATGTTTTATGTTTCTTGATGCACAGAATTAAAGAACAAGGAGGTACATACATATTCTGATGTTATCTAAAGGTCACCAAATAGTATGGCTTCTTTGAATATAAAGAAAGATTATTTATTTATTTATTTTTTGGTGCCAGGGATTGAACTCAGGCCCTTGCGCTTGAAGGCAGGCGGCAGAACCACTAAGCCAAATCCCTGGCTAAAGAAAGATTATTTAGCAGTTAACATCTTAATCATTTGGGTACAGCTTTTCTTTAAAATTAAGAAGGATGAGCAAAAGGTGGCAGAACAAAGAATGACTCTGCCAAAAATAACTCCCAAAGCAGCGGCCATCATTAAATCAGATGCTTCCTTAAGCAAACACAGCAAGAGGGAGGGCTGAGAAGGGTATGTCTGGCACTTTGTCAGACTGTTCACAGTGGTGTGCCCGGGGTTATTTTTCTATATTAATGATGCAACATATGTTGTTGGGATTTTTATCCTGCTTCTTAGAGAGGGAATTTTAAACATTTTCTGGGATATCCAAGTTTTCCCCATAAGGTAGGTCCATTATCTTTACGATCTCAGCAGCAGATCCTGCTTTAGAACTCACCTAAAACTATCCAGACCTTGTTCTGGCAGGCCTGTGGTCCTGTCCTCAGAATGAGCCTGAAGACCCTGAAACTCACTAGGTTGTTGACAGTTTTTTCTCATAAGGGGAAAGTATATTCACCAACCTCAAACAGTGTGTGTTATTCTCAAATCAGTCACACAGAAGGCTCTATGTGCCATATTGAAAGACACACACACACACACACCCCACAGTGTGACAGCAGAGGTGATTGATATTGTTTGCAGTTTCTAAGAAGGAAACCAAACTTTCTAAGCATAATGCTTGCCAGCTCTTTAATGTTCTTCCCAGGACCTTGAGCAATATGACAGAGCTGACGTTAGGTGTTACTTTGAACCAGCCCAAATGATGGAATAGTCACTACTGAAAGTTTTTATAGGTCTGAGACAGATAATAAAGGGGGCAAAACACCCCCCCTACCCCCATGAAGCAATTGAATGCCTGGGGATGCTTTATAGATAAATCCCTCTGCCTGCTTCTTTTTATCTGCATGACCCTTTCCCCAGGTGTTTTAAGTAATCTTACCTTTGGCAGAGGACAGAACATCCTTAGCCTACACTTGGAAAGCCAAAAAAGGGTTCATAAAATAACTTTCAACATCAAAGTAAAGCTGGACCCAGAAAAGTGAGTCATCTTTTATTTTTTCATTAAATTATCTCCCTATTTCTTTGCCTTTGTCAAAATCTTCACCATCTGGGAAAAGGAGTGAAAGGATAGCTAAGATTGGTCACCTGCTATATGCTTAATAAATTGTGGTAATAATATCTCCTTGATGGTGGTTATTCTTTCCATTTTCAAGTGTTTTAAGAGATTTGTTACCATGATGGACCATTAGTCTGGTGAGCTAGGAAGCAGGTCCAGAGATTATGCTGTCAGCCTAATTATAGTACCGTTTTTTCCTCTAAAACTAACTTAGCAAATAAGTTTGATATCCTTGACATGGGTTAATTTAAACCCTAGAGTTTGTAAGATCTAATGTAAGCATAAAGTTAAGAAGATGTTGACTCATAAATACATGTATTTTTTTTCTTGCTTTTTAGGGAAAACCAGTGAAGAAGGAGGATATTTTTGTTGCAGTAAAAACATGCAAGAAATTTCATGGTGATAGACGTACGTTCTGGGTTATTTATTTTTATGGAACTTTAAAATCAAGCTGCCTTTGCAGCAATGTACAAGCCAGGTAGAAATTTAAGCAAGAAAGGGAATAATGGAATAGCTCACTGAAATGAAAATTGTTATTTAATCAATATTTCCCATCTCACCACTTTAATCACCAAGATCTATTAGGAGGGACAATTTTGTATTGAAACACAAGTGGCCAAAGCTCTTCTAAGTACTGTTTACAGCACAGTTTTAAACTGAAAATGGAAAAGCTCAGCTGTGGCTATCTTGGAGACAATATGTGCCTAACAGTCCATTTATAAAACTGTGTCCATTGTGTTCAGGCATAGTCTCCAAATTCTAAGAAGAATTTGAGGTGACTTCAAGGCAACAGAATGTCAACAAAGAATATTTTTTTGAAGGCTATTCCTTTTTTAAAAAAATATTTATTTCAAATGCAGCTGTTGGTACTTTTCAATAAAGATGCATATTTGCTTGGGAGTAGATATATTGGAGAAAAGGAAAAACCCACCTTAGAGACAGTGACCTTGCATGCAGGTGAATGTTATTTTGATTTATTCTTGGTGTCATTAGAAAATTCTGCTAGTTATGGTGGTAATTTTTTTAAAAAGTCCATCCTAAATATAAATAAACATACTTTCTCTCTTCTTACACTTTACTTCAGACACACTTTTCTGATATTGAAAATTAGGCAGTCTTTTTCATTTTCTAATTTTAGCATATTTTTAATTGATTCCATGAAAAGGCTGTTGATTTCACCAAGGGTGTGATATTTATGTAGGAGGGATTTCTAAACCAGTTGTCATTTTTATGGAATTGGAACAATGAGGGAAATTCATTTATAAATTTTATGTGATAACATGATGTATATAAATTATATTTTAAAAGGGAATATATTTCCTAAATAAAAAATGTTATAGTTTTGGACTATAGTATTGCTTAAGTCATCAACATGAATTGAAATCTACCTCTAATCAATAATATTCTAAATGTGCATTAACCATAAACATTCATGTTTGCCTGAAATAGTTAATGTCAATCTTCAAATCCTATTAAATCTGACTAAATAAATATATACGTTCATTATACAGAAAGTCCTAATACTATAAGGGTCAATTTAGCAATTAAAGATTTTCATTTATCAGCAGAAAACAGGAAGATATGTCTTTTGCAAAAGGGAAGGGAATCATGAGATGCAGAGAAGGAAATGGAGATGAAAAAAGAATTAAAATATGTTTATGTCCCCCGTGAGTGATGCAAATGTACTGATAAAAATCTAAAAAAGATTCTTATTTATCATAAATTTGACCTAAATTTAATATCATTTTGCTTTTGTCATAGTCTAGAAGAGCTTTGTAGAATCAGTTTGATAAATACCTTTTTTAGTGGTGGTGGTGGTAGTACTAGGGATTGAACCCACAGCCTTATCCTATTTTTATTTTTTATTTTGAGATAAGAGTCTTGCTAAATTGCTAAATTGCCCATGTTGGGCTCAGGCTTGTAATCTTCCTGCCTCTGGCTCCTAGAGTGCAGGGATTATAGGTGTGTGTCACTAGGCCTCGAGGGCTAAAGATCTTTTTTAAAAAGGTGTTGGAGAAATGAACAAGGCTGCTTTCTGTTTTCTTTTTTGTAGTAAGCAGAAGTATTTGAATTGATTTGATTAATCTTGAAAATGGCCTGTGATTGTTTTTGTAATGTTGATGTTTTATAAGTGTTGATAGTGTTGCAAAATTCTAAAGGAACAAAAGAGACCAACTGGGAATCAGGAAGATTTATTAGGTATACACCTGACCCAGCTGAATTTGTATATGTAGTACTGGGCCATTGAACAAAGAAAAAGTTTCAGATTTATGCATTTAGCCAAAAGGAAGGGTGTTCTTTCTATTGAGGCAGTCAATGAGTTTATTCAAACGGGACAAGGCAGACAGTTTAGTAATTTAGCCTTGTAAGAAGACAGTGTCTTATGAATCATATATGAACAGAATGTCATAGACTTTGTTTACAGAACATAGCTGTATAGTTCCTTGGGGGTTATTAAACTTAATGACTGTACCTTATCAGTATCAGGGGGACGTGAGTAGTTACATTGGAAAAAGAGAGGGACCTGAGTGGGGAGCTGCTAAGACTACTTTCAGCTAGGAGAACTGATTTTCTTTTAAGTTCTGCTTTATAATCTCTACTAGAGGTATCTTTGTTAGTTTTATTTGTCATAGGGGAGTGTTTAGCATAACCTACTAAGAGGTTGGTACTTGGTTAATGCCTTCAGTTGAATGATAGTATGTCTATCAGTCTCTGTGGCCAACTGAGTGTTTCTGACAAGTAAAAGAAGAGAAGCAAGGAAAAATTATAAGGAGATAAAAAACATGTTATCATTGTGATTCTATGTTGATCTTCAAGTTTCAGCTATGCATGGACTAGTCAGCTTCTGGCATGACCAGAGCAGAGCTTTTTTTCTTCAGGTTTCTGCTGTATGTAAATTAGTCAGCTTCTGGGCTGTCTAGTGCAGGGCAATTGTTTCTGGTAGTGGCCTGATTTTATCATGGGATTACTAGTTTTGGTGGTCTGAATCTTGCTGGTTGATCTATTTATCTTGGGCTGTTGACTGTGGTAGATCTAAGACACAGTTCTTGTAACTTTAACTGAAGTGGGGGTGGACAGATTCACAGTATGAGGCCCATGCAATATGGGCCCTACAGTTGGATTTTATTTATTTATTTATTTATTTATTTATTTATTTATTTATTTATTTATTTATCCATTCATCCCAAACAAAGTTTCCGGGTTTGAATGGGTATACTGGGATTGTTTAGTTTATGGGCATTTTTCTCTTGTACCCACCTGTAGATATGTTGTGGAGCTATTTTTAAAACCTGTATTTATTTTCTCAGGGACAGTTTTTTTTTAGTTTATAAAGATTACCCTCAGTTTGACCTATGATTGGGCATGGCCAGCTGAACAGAATCTCATAAGGTAAATACCCTTATGTTTGGTGGGGACGTACTGAACACGGAGGTTGACCGTGGGCAGGACTTGATCTAATTTCTTGAACAGCTACGTGGTCTCTTGGACTTTCTTAGCTATGAATGCTGGCCCATTGTGTTACCCTAAGGTCAGGGGTCGTCTAAATCTTGGGATGATGTACCTTAACAGCATCTTGGGCATCTCTTGTGTCTTTGTTTGGGTGGGGAGGCTTTAATCTATTTTGAGAGGGTGTAGGCAAGCATCAACGTAGCCACCAGGTCGAAGCAGTTTAGTAAAGTCCATAAGCAGATTTTTACATGGGGCAGCTCTTAAGCTTTGGAATTTTTATCATCATTGCTGTTGTCATTTTCTGGGCCATACTTTTACATTGTACACATTGCTCCAAATGTAGCTTTGGTCAATTGGTAGATCTCAGCTTAGTTTGGCACCCTGTTCTGTTTTGTATCCGTGTCTTTGCCCCATGGTGATTTATGTCTGTAAGTGCTGCTGCCAACATTTCTGTGTTTTTTTTGTTTTTGTTTTTGTTTTTGTTTTTCAGCCTCTTACCAGCCTCTCGTTTAGTTTCTTGGCTAAATTCTGCCAGCAAAACCTTCTAACTGTTGTAATTTCTGCTTGATGTCTTCCTGAGCTTGTTTCACAAAGATTATATTTACCATGTACTGATTTTTAGTGGCCTTGGGGTCAAATAGGGTATGGAGCCAGAACACGTCACAAAATCTGTTAATAAAGCTGGCTTGGACTTTTATGTTTCCTTGAATTTCTGAGATCTTTCTTATATTTATTGTCTTGTTTCTGCCCTCTATGAGACCTTGTACTTCTGTAAGAGTTGTAATTGCTTTGCATTGTTTGGATCCCAATTTGGGTCAGCCTCTGGGAATTGATCCTGAGCATATGCTTGTACATTTAACACACCCTCTAGGGTATTGTTTTCTAACCAGCAGGTGGCTGCTTGGGTCACTCTCCTTCTCTCCTCAGTGTTAAACATCATCTGAAGGAGCTGTTTTCAATCAGGCCAGGTTGGCTTATGTGTCTGGAAAATGGATTGCATCAAACCTATGAGGGCTTGAGGCTTTTCCATAAAGGAGGGAGTATAATGTTTGCAATTTAGGAGATCAGTGGTTGAGAAGGGCTGGTAGAACAAGGTCCATTGTCCCCCTTGAATTTGGCCTTCTAATCATAATAGATGGGCCCCCTAGTTTCTCAGAGAGGTGTCTGTAAAGCTTTAGTTTGGTCCTATTGGAGGCAGCTTATTTGACTATCTGGGCTTTCTCTATCTTTTTCTTGAGGCATTGACTCTGTTTTTTTTTCCTCTCAGGCAGGGTATGAAGCTTATTGTCATTTGATTCTGTCAATCTGTGGGATGGCCTTGGCAACAGGGCATAAATTGGAGAATTTCCTTTAGGGGAGAGATTTTTTTCATCTTCTTGCTGTTCTTGTAGAACTTTTTTTTTTTTTTTTTTTTTTTT